TTGTAAGCGGCGCTCGACGTTCGACGTTCACGTTTGAGAGATAAAAACTTCGGCCGCAACCTTGCTATTTAAAATAGCAAAATGCTTAATTATAGGGGTAAAGACGAGTTTTATTTTAAAAAATCTATGAAATCTTCATTAATTCGATCCCCATTCGAGATACTACACATAATCCCTCTATCTCCTTACCCCCATTGAATTTAACCACCAAAATTTAATAGAATCAATCCCCCTAATATACAAATCTCCCTGCAAAATTTCATAAATTTTCGACAAAAAAAAACATGGTGCAAAATTATGGAAATCAAAAAATAAAGATCAAAGTGAATGGACAAAATGGCGCCCCCATACACACAAAAAAAAACAAACACACACAAATAAACACATTCTTTCGCTAAGATCTATACATACAGAAAAAGAAATCCAATTTTTTTTTGCATTTTTCGAAGTTTCAAGGGTCCTTGAGGGTCATTTTCGACTGATCGACATACTTTCCCTCTGTTATACTGTATATAACAGAGCCGGGAAAGCTAAAACTTAAAAATCTCTTCGTATTTGATGTATTTAATTATTCTGTTTCATCAAAGAACACATATGAAAAGGCAAGTGATAGAATAGAAAAAAAAAATTACAGATTATGTTACAGAAGAAAGGATATACCACTAATGGCCTAGCCAGTGAATTCAGTTTGATTGGAGCTTAAAGATAGTAAAAAATGAATAGTAAAATAGTAAAATATTGTATTTATATTATATTTAAATTATAATTTATTAAAATAATGTTTATTTTTAGTATTTTTTTTATTAAAATTATTCATGTTTTTTGGAGCTACAACCCTTTAATCTCCTCGACTATGCCGATGTATATCCTGATTGAACGTCAGTGTTATACTGTTCTCATTTTAATATCTATGCTTTATATATATATATATAACTGCGAGGGGCTTACTTAATAAGGAATTTTTTAAAAAATACAAAAAATTTTGCAATAAATTAATACGTAAAGGAAATTTCTTAAATATCGCTTACAGGAAATATATATATCACTACAGGATGTAATGAAGTTTCGTCATTTGTTATACATTATATAAACTCGGGGTTGGAGTTAACGTGTTCTGCCCCTAATCTATAACATATAAGGGCCTTCTCCTACGCTAAATAATGATACACGTAAAAATATGAGGCTCTAAGCTATAGACTCATAATGGAGGCATTTAGTTTACGTGCAAATCTACCTTGACTGTTTGTCTGTTCTTTGTACACTTCGAGACGATTGAAGAAATGTTATGAAACTTCAGAGATCATCCATTCATCCTGGAGGAGGTCAGAGGTTACTTTTGGCCATATTAACTTCCTATCTGACCAGCTGGATGGTGGCATTTAAATAGGAAAATTACTTAAAACAAAGTTACAAGCAAGCACAGGATATGCTTTTAGGAGTTCTCGAGTTTAAATATTTGGTCCATTTTTTGCGAAATTTGATTGGTTGGTCGATCACCATTTCATATTCGGCTATGAATGATAAAGCCGACCTCTTAAAAGAGGAATACCAGCAATATAATATAATTTCAAGCTATATCATTATTTGATATAGCTTATTGAGGGCATCAAAAACTAGACATTCAGAAATAGAGGGCCTATTAATAATTTTAGAAAAGCAAGCTGCTGGCCCTTTACAATAATACATGCAACATTGTAATTCTATGAAATCTTATATTACACTTAGTACTGTATATGTGTTAGAAAATAGCAAGTATTAAGGTTGCCTGCTGCTTGCTAGAAATATTATCAACTGGTAACGTTGCAAGAATCTCCGTAAACGTTATTTAGCAATAATTTTACATACGTAATTTATGTATCATGTGATCTAAGTAACAATAACGTTACTCGTATAACGTAATCAATCATAAAAAGTTAAACAAACGCTAAACTATTGACAAGTGACATCAGTAATCATGTAAATAAACTGGTCATACATAATATAAAGGAAAATAAGTGAAATATAAAGTATCTTAATGACAACAGGACTTAAAAAAATGGCTGAAACATAAAATAATTATCAACTTATTTAATTATAAACGTTTTAAATATTTATAATGTGATTCTACGTAACGTTGGAAGCTGTCGACATAATTTGTTATCTCTAAATCATTACAAGTGCTGAAAAACTTCACAATTTCTTTGTTTTCATGTCTCAATTTACTATTCATAAAGTAAGTGATTAATTATTTTAAAATATTTAAAAAATAAATAACTTTACAAACAAGTATAGCCTACAGGAATATGATTTATAGCCAGCGCTAGCTCGTCTATAGGCATACACAGGGCCTTCGAAAGAAGGGAAGCTAGGAATTTTTTCCCCACGCCAAGAGAAAGCTTAGGGTCTTTAATGATTCTTATTCCTATAAAATTAATCTTATTTTTATTAAAAATAAATTTTTAAGACTGCTTTTATTAACACTTTTTGTCTGAATGACAGTGTGGACTTCAGACATTTTTCTTCGGGGAAATTTTCTGGGGAAATATTTTCTTATAAAAGATTGGTTTGGACACTCCTGTTGGTGGGACCCAAGGCAATTGCCCCTTTTGCCCATAGGTCTGTCTGGATCCCCAAGTCTGCGGACGAAAGGAATACAGAAATGGGCGATCCACTGATGACCAACTCCAGTAATTTGGAACAGGGTACTGGCCATACTCTCAGATATGCCTTCTGGGCTTTGGCAAATGGCCTCCATTAGGGTATTAAGATATGTAGAGAAACCCAGAAAACGCCACAGAGTTAGGCCCTTGACATGCCAGAAAACTACCAGAACACCTCATTCCCGGTAAGGTGTACAGGAGAGGGAATGTATTAATTAAGAAAATTTCGATTTGAAATAAACTTTTCCTGTTAGAAAATATATTCTCTTGCTATTTTTTTGTCACAATATTTTGGAAATTATCCAATTTTTAAAGCCATTAAAACAAAAATTATGATTAATAGCTTTAGTGGGTTACTATTATGATAAATTTATTATTTAATTAACCTAACCTTCTATTAAAATAGCGTATTGTTTGCTGAACTACAGAATAATTTGTACGAAATTGCAGGAATTTAAACCAGTAGAGCAATAAAATCTCGTGTACAGACAAATGAAGAGTAAAAATAACGATAAGAATCTTTGCTCTCAATGCCACGTTCGATTTTCTCGCCAGTAACCTGTTATTGGCGTACATGTATGGAAATTTATTGTGGCATGCCAATAAATATGAACTTTTTCAGAAATATTTATGTACATATGGAAACAGCATATTAATTAAACTAAAATTTATGGATAACCATTCATTCGTGGTCTACAAAAGGTAGATTATGTTTACATTGCGTGACTTTCAGAAAGCCTTGATAACTATTGTGGTATGACGTACTAAATCTTTAATTTATTATATAAATAATGGATGATCACTATTCTCGGTAAGACCTGAAGTGACATTTATGTTCGTGGTTAATGAAACTTACTTGGAATTGCAAGCGAAGGATACGAATATGTAAAGTTATTACATCGAATTTTACAGGATTTGAGAGAAAATATATATATAATTTGAGCATCGTTTACTAATTCTTCACTCTAAAGTCTTGCAGCACACAAATTTCTGTTAGAGTAACCATGAAAATCATTGATTTAACCGTAATTTATGCATTTGGAATGCTTCCGAGCCACTTTTGACCCCGCTTCTTCCCTGTTGTGCACTTTTGGCAAATCCTCTCCCCCTTGATTACGTGTATAATAGTTCATGAAACCCCTTTGACATTAAAGAAATGGCTTTAAAAAGTTCAAGTATTCTGATAGTTTCACACAATTAGGCTATGTATGATACTCGTATGCCATTAATACCACTAAAAAATCCATGTAAACGATGCTCGGATTTGCACATAAGCTATAAATATATGCAGCTTGGGACCTCGTGTTATAAGTCTATAGCTTAGGGCCTAACAATTTTTAGTTACAGTTTAATTTAAGACAACAACAACAAGTAAGTCCAACTCTTCCCCCTCCTTCAATTAATTAAACTGAACACGTAATTAATGGATGGTCCCTTTAATCACTGAGCTATTAACAATTTTTAATGCAAATTAACATTAAATCACTATGATAAAGCGTTGAAAGATTAATTAATGGGTTCACGTTGAAACAATAGAATTTTTTTAACACGCAATTGTAACACGCAATACGTTAATAAAAATAGTAAGGCTAGTTTCTAGCTATTTACCAATAAAATTATTTTAAAATTTTAATTACACATTAATATTTTTTCCTTGTTATGGATATTTTTATAGGCATTAAAAAAACAGCCATACACACTGTTTACGTGTAGGCCTACCTACTACTTTATTACACAATTAGTATTGGAAGTATAGCCCAAAAAAATCTCATTAAAGTGGTATAATTCTTTTATTACCCACTCTATTTTAATCGACAATTAAATTAATATAAAATATTTTGCTTACAACTTTACATTTTTTTCTTTTTTTGTGGTTAATCCAATAAATTCAAGGACGGAAAGTTTTCACAATCCTCATTTGCATGAATATAACTTCCAGTACACACCAAAGACCATTATACTGTAAAAAAAAAGTGTTATGAATGAAATTTTACTGTACCAAATTCAATTTTTAAGTACTTAAATAGTGTACGTACTTAAATATTCATAAACATTAAATTTTATTTGGGAAAAAAACTTGATTTACTTGTTTAAACGAGCCATTTTTAGTATACGTTATTGTTGCCCTTGAAGGAATTGGTTTGGTTGTATACGGCAAAGCAACACGTAGGCGATCTGCTGAGGGGATGCCACCCGTGAGATCTCTCTACGGGAAACTGCCCTCCCCCATTTAGGTGTTACACACGTGAAGAAAACACAGAAAACGCCACGTGACCAGCCTGTGTTTGCGAACCCAATGTTTAAAGGTTTTTATCCACTCGGCGCCCTTGAAGGGAGTGACTTGTTTTTGAAAAAAATTCGTAAGCATCGCAGAAAACGTTACAACCCATACTAATTTCGTCATCATCATCATCATTTACATTGTTCTATTATTTATAGAACTATCATTAAAGTGATAATTAAGATTAATTTAAATATTACAAAGGGCAATTTAAAATACAGTTCCCATGGACTTCGTCTATGGAAATCATATCGTAAACATATGAAATTATCGCTTTAAAAACTGTAATCGTATTGATGATAAGAGGATAAAGTTTATCGATCCTTACTTTAAATTATTTTACATTATTTTTAATAATTTTAGGTCAAACTTTCTTGGCCATTTTTTTTTTTTTTTATTATTATTATACAGAAGTGTTGACTACTCACTACAGTTTTGTAAATGATACTGTTGATTTCCTATCTCGAAAGCAATCAAAATTTAAAAAAGAAAGAAAGAAAACTGCTGTATCAAATCACAATTAATGACATTAGCAATGATTAACGAAGGTTAAGTACTGCAGCACTTCACTTACTAATTTTAATTAAGTTATACACAAAATAATCATAAAATATTTTTTTTTAAAAATGGCCGTTGTTTGGAGGTTGTAAGCATTTACAATGGCCGTTGTTGGGAGTGTCCGTTATAGGAGGTTCGGCTGTACTAAAGAAATGGCATATTTTTGATATGAAAAGTTGTTTTTAAGTATCAAATATTATTGTTTTCCCTTAAAAGTAGAAAAATTTATCTTATCTCACTATCATTTACGTGGAAATACTGCTTGTATCCGGTTTAAAAACAATTCAAAGTCGTATAAACCTAACCTTTAACACACAGCACCCTCCAGAGCAGAATTTTTAGATTAGCGTTAGGTCCTAAATTATAATATACAAGATGGACCAGGGCAGATTTGTATATAAGCAATATATGCTGCAATTTAGGGCCTCACTTGTAACATTATTTGGGGCCTGTTATAGCGTAAGGCAAGTTAATTCCATCCCTGCTACTTCCTAAACTAAATAGCAATGGATAATACAGTATATGTTAATTTTTTGTGGATAGAGTGAAAGCTTAGTACGTTGAGGCCTTAAACACTAACGTTATAGAATTTTTGCTCTTAAATTAGACTTTTCCTTTCTTCGTATGATAAGAAAGTAGGCCTACATATCCTTTTATGAGTAATAAAAAATGCGCTTTGTTTTCTGTTCTGTGTTATGGTTTTACTTATATCCTTATCGGTCTTCTATTCATTCTTACATCCGTGTTGTATGTTCCTCACGGATTTGGTTTTTATATCCGTAAACCTAATATTACATGCTTCTGATTATACAGTCCCCATATGTATATCATTATTTCTAATTACGATCAGATGGATCCTGTATTATAAAGTACTAACTTTTTTTTTACATACCGAATTCCTATTTCGGTTCTAGCTTTGTTCCACTTTCTAATACGCCTTTTTAATTATGCAGGCTTCCAGAATTCCTAGTTTTATTTCTGGTTTCCTATTGGTTTATTTATAACTCTTTTATTTTTAAAGTATTTCTTACGTGCCTCGAATTTATATTCGTAAAATCTCTAAAATAACCTTTCGAATTTTATTAAAAAAAAAAAAAAACACCGAAATAAAATTTCTACCGATCAAATAGGGTAACGAGGGAATAAAAAGTGGGACATTTCTACTGAATTACCACTTGCGACCTTAAAAAATTGTGTTACAGTTGAATCAGCTTTTATGATTTTCTATATATTGTATATACAGGGCATTATAATTGCACTGGCTTTCTGTTTTTTGTATATAAATAATCGTGCGTTTCCTGCTGAAACAGTCCTTTCAATAGTTTACAATTGGAGTTAGAGCCGATAGCTTATCGCCGCTTGTTAAAAAAAAAAAAAAAACCAAACAAACGCATTGATAGGGCAGAGTTTCGTTAATGCCAAGCAATTCTATAGTTTATAATTAGATGAAATCGCGGGTATAAATAGTTGCGACGTCAACTCAACACTGGCATAACACGCGGCCGCCATCTTCTCCGTCGGGGAGGTACGCTGTACTTCTTTTATAAATAAATTTAAGGTCGATAGCACCGAGTAACGTAAACGTTTGACCTTAAACACTTGTGGAAGTCGAACCTGTCAGTGAAACGAGTTGTATGTAAACTAGTAATTTAGGTCGCAATAAACTCATTCAAATATCAAATTTCACACAGGAAAAACATCATAAACGAACTAGATAGCATTGACGTCATTTCCGCCTTTTCAACGACGTCACTAGAGGGAGCCGTGGACTGGAATTAAAGATGGTGTATACGGCGATATCGTACGTTTTGTAAAATAAAAACAACACGATCGGTGCGATAACAAGAAAAACGATGAGTAGTTAGTGTAGGAGCGTAACTATAAGGATAATTACTTTGTGCGCTTTGAGTGAGAGACAGGAAGTTAACACCGACGCGAGTAATTGTAAAGAATGTGTCACGAGTATGAGCTATCATCTTTAAACGTGACTCGAGTCATACACTAAAGTTCTTTGTAGGTGAATATCCTTAATTTGCCATGGCTGCCACTATTGAATTTCCTCCCGTTACTTTCAGTTCTACGTTTCTACCTTATTTTATACAGGTAAGTTTGTTTATTTCAATTAAAATAACTAAGAGTTACCTTTGGTCAAATTCGTATATACTTTTACATAGACCAATTAACTAAAGTTAACCTCTACTCGCTTATATATTTAATAGTAGGTGTTACCTTTAGTTAAATTCGTATATACTTTTACATAGACCAATTAACTAAAGTTAACCTCTACACGCTTATATATTTAATAGTAGGTGTTACCTTTAGTCAAATTCTTATATACTAACACATAGACAAATTAACTAAAGTTAACTTCTACTCTCTTACGTAATTATTTTCTTAAAATTTAAGATTAAATGAGAAGCGATGGCTTCGTCTTCTTTGCAGATACGTTCCGGTGTCTCGTTAGCATCCTTAAGTTTGTTCTCGTATCGCTCGATTGTGCAACGATGACTTCCTACTTCATAATATATAGTAGCTTATCTTTAACTGTGGCCTATATTTCCGACACTATAGCAGAGCCGTATGAATTATCTTTAACTCAGTTGTGTGCTTGTTTCGTTCAAAATGCTGATGATTCTTCCCGTATAAATCATATCATTATGTTAGACATGTATGAGATTATATTATAAATTCACTCGTTCATTTTTTAATAATAGTAATTTTGTTGTAGTTTTGCTCGGCAATGTGCAGAGATGAGCTCCCGACATCCCTTTTGCAGAATATGTAGAGTGTTTCTTTATTAACAAAAAGCAATCTTAAAGATTTCGTTTTCTGTTAGTAAGAACAATACTAATTTATAGGGATGGGAGCCATTTCGGGTCCTAACTTTGCTCCGGACCGGAGGCAACTTCCCAGTTTCCTCCTCTCGAGGGGCCCAGATTCGCTTTTATTCCCTGTTATTGCACTTTACTGGTTTAGAAAGTCTACGATCTTGTATAAATGCATATTTTATTAAATCATACATTAATTGACATTGTAAGCTATTTAAAGCTGCTGTTAAGCTCCCATATGTATCATTCGGAGCTTGAATTGAACCCCGTTCTCACCATATTCAAAATAACTTCAAGAATAACAGAATTTCCTAACAAATTGTTTCAAATGTAACGAAAATGTTCTAAAAATTTCTCTTCTTAGTTTAGCTTATNTAATAATAATAATAATAATAATAATAATTTTTTAAACTATTAATGCAAGATGTAGAAAATATTTTATTTAAAAAAAATAGATTTATTAGCATAAAACAATATTTTCCTGTTTATCTCCATGCTTAGTAGAAGCCATCCATATGCAAGAATCCTTACTCAAGCACATAAAAGTTAAAAATCCATTTAACAAAATTAATTATATTAGTCTTCCCTTGTTTCTATTCTACGACTCAAGTGTGAATAAGATATCAAACAAATGTATTTTACAGAAAATTTGAATCCACTTAAAATAATATATTCCCATTAATGCTCTTGAGATATTGGATATGGGTTCGGGACTTAGCAGAGAGGAAAAAGATAGGCGGGAAGAGAAAATGACAAATACTAATGTGAGATTTGTGTCTTACAGGTTTAGTGGCGATGTAATGTATAATCTTTACGTAGGCAGAATAAGCGTTGGACTCGAAAATGATCGTTCGCTTTGTATTTACAGGTAGCCAAATCCAATGGTAATAAGAATTCTGAATTAGCCGAAGTCGTGCAGCAGAAAAACTTGCAAAATTTGAAGAAGGCGCCCAAAAAAAAATGGAAACGTCTGACGAGAAGCGGAATTAGAACTCAACCGAAAAAACTAGAAACTGAATTAGCCGAATGTCAACTTGCTTATGCAAAAGGCGTATTGGAAAATATAGATAACGATGATCTAACTTTATTGCATCTTCTTGCTTTGGTAAGTTCATATACATAAATATTTTAAATATATATTAAAAACACATTAATTGTATTATACATATCATAATATTTACACGACTGAAATATATTTTGTATTTTAAAAAATATTTATATAGATAACATCTTTATTGCAGTTGGATATATTTAAATTCTGTTATCTCATATTTTGTAAATACTATAAAAGTGTTTAGAACAAAATGATAGAAAAGATATTTAAGTAATTCATAGTAAGAACATTTAAAAAATTCCAAAGATTAAGGATAAGAATTATGTAAGAATGGTAATTTAAGATTGATACAACAGTTAAACTTAAGGATAAAGATTAAAATTAATTTATCATTAAACTGAATAATTAAGTTTGATTGTACTGCTACGTAATTTGCAGCTACAGATATTCTCCGTGTACTTGCAAATTATGTAGTCTATGCACTATCAGTGTAATTACAATGTATAAAGTTATTTTTATAGCTTATTAGCTGCATATGCCTGGCATTGCTTGGGCTTTTGAGGGGGTGGGCGATAGAGGTAATTTGGGGGACCTCCACAATATTTTTTCTAGGATGTTGAAGAATATTAATACCAAATTTGGTGCAGATATGTTGAACAATATAGAACCCTTTACCTAACAAACATATTTCGACTTCTATATAAATAGATATAAATTGATATTTAATATTTAACATTCACCGAGTAGCTTTCTGTAATATCATTAACAAAAAAAAATGTTTTTTTCCTTTGATAATCAATGTCGTACTAAACATCACATTAAACAGCAGCAGATCATTTATCTGCTTAAATTTTTCCTGTTATTTTATATACTTTTATGATAAACAGAAAATTATTTAATTGTTGAATATTAATGGAGTAATTTTTTTATACATTATAGAGCCATTTTTTATCAACAATACACGTGAATGACAAATTATCATGCGATTTTTCCTGAAATATTCATCCATAAAAACAAATAATAATTTTAGTCGTATCCCAAATGTTATCTGTTACATCTATAATTGCCAAGGAGAACAACTATACGTGCTGTACAACTGTCTTGCTGTAAGCTACTTCCATCACAGTACACATATAGATTATTAATATGCAAGTTTGATGACAAATAGTTTCATCGAAATTCAATTTTAATATAAATTTTGAAATTTGCGAGATTTCAAAATAACAATGCTGTTTTGTTTTGAAAAGTATTTCGTGTCGCCTGCCTTCCGTGTAAAAATATTTTCTCATTTATTTTCTCTTATTAAAATTCGTTCTTGAGCTTTTATTCTTTTATTATTATTATTTTTTTAAAGAAACTTGATAATTTTATTCTATCCTTGACCTTTTTCTTTTTTGTTCTACTTTCTAAATATTATTAAAATAAATAAATTTTAGAATATTTTTAACTACTTTTCTTAAAATAATCGATGGTTAGACAGAAAAATTAATTCTAGAGGTATACTTTCCCATACCTTAAAAATATATATGTTTATATTACTGCAAAATAATCTAATTTTAGTTACGATATTCCCATATTTTATAGTTTTATAGAAAGATAGTTTCTATAATTCATATATTGTACATATATTTTATGTATTAAATGATGTCAATGTGTCAATGTTAAATTTTTGTCTATTTTCTTAGTTCATACTAATTTACCTAATTAATTAGTCATTATGTAAAATAATAAAAGTACTCAATTTTACTTTTTTTTTTATTTAATTTATTGACAGACAAAGAATTTAGCATTGAAAATGGCGTAATTAAGTGTTTTTGCTTTTCCTCTCCCTTTGTTCTTTCTTATTATATGTCGCTTTTCTCTTATAACGTATTACGGTAGATATTTATTATCTACCATAATAAAAAGCGTCGGGAAACGTGTTTGTTTATCGATCAGTTGATTTATTTCTCCGGAATAAATGTGCACGTGTAAAATTTAAATGACACAAGCTACGCATGTAGAGAATACATGCTCCTTAATTTACGAAGAGAAAAAAAACGTGTAGTACAAGGAAAGTATTAATTGCATATATATTTTGATGTGAAATTATGTCACATATTTCCTGTATCAATAATTGTAATAATTATTTTTAGCAGTTGTTATTCATCATTGTATAGAGTAATCCTGTTATGGTTTACTTTCTGTGCTTTAGGTTTAAAAAAACTATAATTTTCCTCTTCTAAGACATGTTTTGAAACCATCAATATGTCATAATATTTAAAATATATGTATGCACTTCATATATATTTTAATATAATTAATCTCGGATGTAATCGTTATTAAACTTTAGAATTTAAACCAGAGATTATCGTACCATATCTCGTATCTAAATGATATCTGATAAGTAAACTGTGTAGATTACAATTGCGAAAATAATAATAATAATAATAATAATAATAATTTTTTAAACTATTAATGCAAGATGTAGAAAATATTTTATTTAAAAAAAATAGATTTATTAGCATAAAACAATATTTTCCTGTTTATCTCCATGCTTAGTAGAAGCCATCCATATGCAAGAATCCTTACTCAAGCACATAAAAGTTAAAAATCCATTTAACAAAATTAATTATATTAGTCTTCCCTTGTTTCTATTCTACGACTCAAGTGTGAATAAGATATCAAACAAATGTATTTTACAGAAAATTTGAATCCACTTAAAATAATATATTCCCATTAATGCTCTTGAGATATTGGATATGGGTTCGGGACTTAGCAGAGAGGAAAAAGATAGGCGGGAAGAGAAAATGACAAATACTAATGTGAGATTTGTGTCTTACAGGTTTAGTGGCGATGTAATGTATAATCTTTACGTAGGCAGAATAAGCGTTGGACTCGAAAATGATCCTTCGCTTTGTATTTACAGGTAGCCAAATCCAATGGTAATAAGAATTCTGAATTAGCCGAAGTCGTGCAGCAGAAAAACTTGCAAAATTTGAAGAAGGCGCCCAAAAAAAAATGGAAACGTCTGACGAGAAGCGGAATTAGAACTCAACCGAAAAAACTAGAAACTGAATTAGCCGAATGTCAACTTGCTTATGCAAAAGGCGTATTGGAAAATATAGATAACGATGATCTAACTTTATTGCATCTTCTTGCTTTGGTAAGTTCATATACATAAATATTTTAAATATATATTAAAAACACATTAATTGTATTATACATATACATTTATAAATTAGGTAAATTTATAATCCTAAAATTTTTTACAGCTTTGTTTCATAATTTGTATAATTAGTCTTGCAAAAATTTTATTTATTTATTTAAAATTAATAAAATATTTTTAAAATTTTAATGATAATATTTCATTCTAAACAATACACTTGTTTCTGGCATTATTCCAATACATTGAATATTAATAAAGCAATTGAAACAAATTATTTAGCCTATGTTTGATTATCTGTATGCAGAACGAATGTAGGGATTTAAATTTAAATATATTAATCTGCAAATATATTTGAATCTATATAATAATTAATGACTAAGGAGAATACTCGATACAAATCCTAAAATTGAATCATATCATTATTAAGTATTGAAACATATCATGCAGTCTAGCTGGTCTGAAATAATAAACAGGAAATTGTTTGGAATATATAATTAAATTATGGTAAACATAACTTTCAATTCATTGAAACTAGTATTTCAAAAATCAACCATATGCTGCTACAATAAAATTTATACCGTAGGAGTACTTTCCCATTAAAGGTGACTCCACACATTCAGTATTCTCCAATTGCTAAATAATTGCTTTTTACCAAAGTATTTATCATATGGGAAGAACTCACATACATGCACATTATTTGCCAAGCATTGATTTATTGCATGAATTACTCAGTATTGGCCAAATGTTTGTTCAGCATTCGGTGAATACTGAATGTGTGGAGTCACCTTAATGTATTAATTAAATTACGACAGATTAATGAATATACACACGGAATATAGAATAAAGTAAGGCGTAAGGCTTTATTTTAGTAATGCTAAATGATTGTGTTCCCAGTCCACTGTTCATGAGTTGAAAAAAAATTCTAAAATGAGATTAGTTCTTTTAGTATGAAAATTCATTGCTAAAAGTTAATGATGTTTTAATTCTAATAAAGAATTATGGTTATTTTATAATTATTGGGCACCAATTTGAAAAAATTGTAGATTTATAAATTCCCACTGTCATCCATTTGCCTGTCTGTCCTTCCTTAATCTTCAGAACAGTGTTAGATTAAAGTTGAGACCAAATACAGAAATCTTAGGGGCAGGAAACCCCAATTAACTATATATGAACTTCTGGTCTAGACCAGAAGTTATGTGAATTCAAAAATTTTCCACTGAATGGAATTACATAGATGACTGGCATGACTCTGTTGTTATCAGGAAAAGTATGATGTACAGTACAAATTTGAGATGAAGAACATGCGTTTTAAATTGAATGAACTAAGAATATGATTGAAAATTGCAGCCTGGCATTGTGATGATGTCACAATAAATAAATTGCTCATTTTACATAAATAATAATTATAAAAAGGACAAAAATTATGAATTAAAATTAAAACACATTTTTAAACAGTGACTTAATGAATAAGACTTAAAATGAGATGGGCCTGGTTGAGAATCATTTAGATCAAAAGGCTCAAAGATTTTCTGGCTTAGAACTGCAGTAAGAACATCTGTTGGTCCTTTTCCTTCTCTCCTCAACATGTTTTAATATAGTTTGAGAGCATTTGTTATAGCTGTTTGGATTTCCAATTAGGATAGTTATTCCAATTGGGAAATTTACAGGCAGATTTTATCTATGTTAAAGCTTCTTTAAGCATTCTTATGGTGAGAGCTCTGAGTGTATCATTTCCTAAACTTCTGTGTCCTCTTCACTGTTCTCTCTAGCAAATAATTTTTGTATGAAAACAGTTGTTGTATTCATAAAGTTAGTTTGGACTTAGATTTACAGAAGTTTTTTACATCAACCAATTCAAGTTTGTCAAATTGTTTTTTCTATCAACAACAATGATTTGGAAGAAGTTTTGGCATCACTTCTTTTCATGAAGAGCTTCATTTTTTTTTAATTTAATTATTATTTCAAATACTTCTTTAAAACAGCAGAGAAGTCATAATTATTTAAGAAAATATATGTTTTTTGTTCAAAATATTTTGAAAACAATGACTCATTATCAGGGTCACATTTATTATGAATTGGGTAAAGTAGTTAGTTCATGTCCCATGTTTTAGTGAATGACTATTTTTCTGTTGCTTTCTTATCACTAAATATCTTATTACATTTAATAAAAATATTTGTAATTGTAATCCTATATCAAAAAATGCAAGTTATACAGTAAAATTCTTAGAGAGGGAATATTCTGTTTTCCTTTTACATCAGGATCAGAAATATTATGTTGATCCAACTCTAGCCAATACATCATTATTTAATTTATGATATAGGGGTAATCACTGTTCTTATTGTTTCAGGTGAATAACAACAGAAGTAATTGTAATCCCTGAACAAGGAGTAGAGCTTGTTTTCACCTAGAACACCAAATTTTTTTTTGTTAGGCTATTTTCAACAGCTTTGTGTGAGGGCTTTGGAAGGTTTTTGTGGCTCCAATTTCTGTGTTGTCCCCATAAAATAAAATAAGCTGTACTTGTTCAGGGATAAACAGAATTAATTACAGTGTTATTGCACCTGAAACAATAAGAACAGTGATTATCACCATTTGGCAAGAAGGTTTGTCTCCCTTCTCTTCTCTTCTTCTTCCTCCCACACTGTATTATGGTATTAATTTGTTTAATTAATTTAAAGAAAAAGATTATGACTGCTTTCATTAAATATCCAATTTTGCTCTACATTTACTATTTCTTTGTCCAAGTTTAATTATTTCTTTATCTCATCTCATGTATTATAAAAATAATTGGCCAAATAAAACCTCTTTTTTTACAATGAACAACACAAATTTAACTTCTGAATATTTTAAGACATTTACAATAATGAAGCTGTAAAACAAAAAATTGGTCAGGCAAAAGTTAATGGAGTGGGATCCCGACATAATTGTCTCATAGACTAACATTGTACCTTTGCACATCCAAACTATTGCATCTTTCTTAAATCTCTCTTTGGCAGCATCATCTATAGGGCAAGAGCTTTAATTTAATACCTGAACCATGTCCGTACCCTCAGTTGTTTACTCAAACTAAGTTGGAAAAGCTGAAATCCTCTTTCAATTACTGTAATATATAATTACAAACATTTTTCCAATTTTTCATTTGTTAAGCAGAAACTGATATATTTCATTCTAATACTCTCAAAGATTCACGATAAATTTAATTTTTAAATGAAATATTACACATCTACTCTTTTAAATAGGTTATATTTTATAAAATAAAGTAATAAAATTTGTTACGTCAGTCAAGAATAAGACTTTTAAGTTTGTAATATTTCACTTAATTTATTTTTTGTTCAAAGTAATAATTTAGTGATTTTTAAACTTTATCTTAATTGAGAAAATATGCCAAATAAGAAAAAAAATAATTTCTTAGAAATAAAATACAATGACACTATTTTATTTAATAGTTTAACTATAAACTAACAGCAATATAACTTTCAAATTATATTAAATGCAATTGCACTTCAATCTGCTTTATGATAACTGCTGATATCCAGTATTTAGAGTAAAAACTAAGTGAGAAAAGTGCATTCTACATGTTTGGATTCATGACAAATCTATTAATTGGCTGTTATAACAAGAGTTCTAGTTACATCCTAGTGCAAGGATTGCAAACCTATGATCCAAAGTAACATGCAAAACAAATTTGTTTGGTATGCAACAAATCATATGATTAAAAAACACTACACAGGGGAGAAAAAACTATTATTTGCTTTCTTGTAGTTTGGACAGCTAATTAGAATAACACTAATTTAATACTGACCATATTAATTGGGTATCCGTTTCATTTCCTATTTCCTTTTACCATTTTGTAATAAATACAGGTGCAGATCCAGCAGACACTCATAAATAACAATGCACTATTATAGGAATAGAAATGGATACCCGATTTAATATGGACAGTATTAAATTCGTATTCTTATGATTCATTTATTTTTTACCGTATACTTTCAATTTAACTTAATTTCGGTTTTTTATTCTTCTTTTAGATTTATAATCCTCCTCTTCGCAATTAATTTTTCATACAAACATAACTATCAGTTTAAGACATTTATATATTAAAGCCAAATGATCAGGTGAAGGTTCGGATAGCGTAATTTTTTGTACATTTGTTCAAATTAAGTTATATTCACTTGATTTCTTTAAAAAAGCTGCTTGAAGTCCAAAGCTTTGGCATACACAAAATGTTCTTATAAGTTTAACTGCTCGGTCATCTATTATTTTATATTATAAATTAAACAAAAGCCTGTTTACAATAGAAATACAAGAGATGTTCGATTGCTTAATTTTCATTTTGTTATTTAAAGACATTGCCAAATTCATAGAGAAATTTCAGATGGTTTGCAGAAATATGTAAACTGACGCAGTTAAAAATATAAACTATGTTTGTATAACCACATATAAAACTAATCCAGAATTTTAATAATCAAATATTTAAATGCCAGATATTTTTTAGGCTTTAAATAAGCCAGACTTATTTAAAGAAACTATTAATAATTAATTTTGTTTATATACTTGTCTCTCAATTTAACGGATTAATTGGGAAAGGAATGTCTGCTATTGCCAAAAGTCTGTTAAATCAAATTTATTTTAAAACTTATAATTTTTTTTTACTTATTCATCCTGCACATTGTAATAATAATCTACATTGAGTATTTATACACACTTATAAAACATCTGTTAAAAATATAAAAATAAATTTAACAGCTGGAACCAAATTTTATTTTAATTAAACACACCTCAAAAACTACACAATGTAACTAATGGGACGTTACCACTGGTAATGCCAATTCATTGACCCAACCTTTAAGCATGTTCTATTTGCAAATATAAAAAGAAAAATTTGAAATTTTTTCCATTTTAAATGTTGATCCATTTAAACAAAGCCTACTGCATATACATTTGCCAGGTTAAACATAAGTCATCTGAGAGCAATAGTAATTCGTGAGCATAGAGATTTCCCCAGTTGGCAATGCAGTTAACCTGTATGGTTGTATGATTCAAATTAATAAACCTAGATAGAGATCCAGGTAGCTTAACTGATAACTTCCACTGTACTCCTATCTGGAGGCATTGAGTTCTACTCAGAATATTCTGAAGGAAAAGATCAATTCAAAATAATTATATTTTAGTGATGTAACGAATATTCGGTTACTATTCGGTATTTGGCCGAATACTGAATATTTAGTCACTATTCGACCGAATACCTAAAAACAGGAGTAAGAAATAACAAAAACACAGTAAATTAATCATTTTGGTATTTAGATTTAATGTTATTGGGTTAGTATTGTTTGTTTATATTTATTTATAAGTTATAACATGCACAAAATTAAAAAAAAATAATATTAGTTGCATGTATTTACAATTTATAATTACAAATATCAGCACACGTACACACTTATTCATTCGAGAATTGTTGCACACATCTGAGGGTCTGACCCTGCCTATCCTTTTTTAAGCGCTCATCTTTGCTCTTTCCTTTCTCTTTCCTCTATCTCTCTAGTCCACGTATGCCTATGCATACATCATAATACGCACTCACAATACTTTCAATTTGTCACTTTTCCATCGTAGTTTTTCCATTTTATAATTACATGACTCATAGCCTGGTGGTAATGGAGAAAAGAGACAGATAGGATGTTGGTATATGTCACAGTTGTGATTTCACAGATTCGAGACAGCTTGATAGCCCGAACTATTTCAGGCTTTTCCCTGTGCATGCTAAGTGACTTTCATTACAAGCATTTAGCTTTCCAAAGTTTATGACAACAATTGTTTGGCATTGACGGCCGCAAATTTTGCGCCAATAAGCTGCTTCAACTTGTTCGATTATGTTATCAACTCAATTTCATATTTATTTTCACATTTTCACTTCGCGGTCTTTCTCTGTTCTTTTTCCGTTATTTACATGTGTAGGTCATTTCATTGTTATTCATATTTGATATCATCATTTATCACATACTGCCATGACGTTCTTGTCTGTCCACTACAAATGTCAAAAATTAATGCAATTGGCGAAGTGTAGTGACAGCGGCCAATGGAGAGCAGGATCCTTGCCATAATGCGATTTGCGCACCAATTTTCGTACATGCGTTAATCAAGCTGAATAGTTTGGCCAAATATTCGATATTCGACCTCACGCTGAATATACTATTTGTTGCAACACTATTATATTTAATTCTAAACTACTACACTCAGATTCTCAATTAGTCATTGAATAACACACTGCTTTATCTGGAGAGACCCTTCCAAGCACTTTTAGAGCACCAATGGAAATTGCCAATTCTTTACAGCAAACCCCATGTTTAATTATAAAATTAATGAAATTACTGTATTAATATTAGGCAGTTGAATTATCTGATTCCTTTAATTAGAAAAGTGTACCCTGCTTAGATCTTTTTTAGGATTTTTTGAGCTTTTTTCTTGTGTGTGTAACATAGGCTAGTTCATAGTTTAAAGCTTCTTGCGCAAAGAAAATTTAATTGTAGCACAATAAAGGCATAGTCTGACAATTTTTGACTCTAAATTTTTAATACATAAAATTAAACTTTGAATGATGTATATGTAAATTAACATTATTTATTTTTTTAAGAGTGCACTCGAGTTAACGGCACCAGCCAGCGATATATTATTAAAGAATCAGGTGAACAACTGGGTCCAATTATCTGGACATGAAGGTAAGTTTGATTTTATAGATTTAAGAAGTTTTATTATAAAATTTTAAAATAAAATTGATTATATTTTAGGTTCTCTTGCTCCCGCGGGACCGGGCACCATTTGGAAAAAGAGGCCTCCAGATAATTCTGAAGTTAAAGCTTACGAGGCTTTTGCTAAAGATGTGATACACGACATGGTGCCTCGATATTATAAAGACGTGGAGTATAACGGCGAACGTATCCTTTAAACTATACCATGTTAAACATATAATTTGGCATTAATAGTATAATTTATTATAATTGTATTTTGCCTTAATTAAATGTAAGATTTCATAGAAATGGAAGATCTACTCTTCAATTTTAAGAATCCTTCAATAATGGACATTAAAATGGGTACAAGGTATTGCTAAGTTTTATAATTGGTTATAATAAACTTGATAATATATTTCTAAATTTAATCAAGTTATTTTTATTTAAGGACATTTTTAGAGTCGGAGGTCCAAAATAGTAAAGCAAGGAACGATTTATATGAGAAAATGGTCAAGATTGACACAGATGCTCCAACCAGTGAAGAAAGGAAAATCAGTGCAATTACTAAACTTCGTTATATGCAAGTATGTGTATTCTTTTTATTATTATTTTGAATTTTCTGCTTGTCAAAATCAACAATAAATTATTCTCTTGTTAACAGTTTAGAGAAAATTTGAGTTCGTCATCAAATTTTGGTTTCAGAATAGAAGGTTTCAAGGTAAGATTTATTTTTGTTGTACAGAGTAATCAAATTAAAATTTACTTTTGAGGAGCAGACTTGACACTAGGAGTTGATGTCTGATTCCAAGTGGTTCCGTTCCCCGAACACTGGTAGTTCAGTCATGGGTTTTCACCTTGCCGGGACAGGCTGGCCACGTAGAGTTTTCTCCGTGTCTTTAATGCACAAACAGGGATCAGTTACCCTTAAAAGACCTTCCAGAAGGCATTCCCTCTAGGCAGATCCTCCAAGTTTTGATTGCTGTAACTAACAAAACAGATTGATTCATCAAACATAACCAATCTACAGTGGTGCCACATACTTTGAATTTAATTCATTTTGGGAGGCTGTTAGAACTGAATTTTCAAAGTCCAAATCTGTTTTTTCCATTAGAAATAATGTAAAGCAAATTAATCTGTTTCCAGACCCTAAAGGCCTAAACAGTACTCATTACAGTAAACTTAAATGACAAATATATATAGTTTAAGGTAAAAATAGCACAATTAAATGACCCTAAAAAGTTAAAACGTTAAAACAATAAATAAAATATGCTGTTTCACCTTTAGCAACATTTGATCTTTTATTGCTTTCTTGTACCTAGGAATGGTGTGCACCATCAACTTAGGCATCTTAAACATGGCAGCCAGATCCACCACACACTTAACACTTTTGTGTACACACATGGCGATCTACCGATATTATAACTTCTCTTATAGGCATTGTCACTTCCACACACTTCTTGGATACCATGATTAATAATTAATATGTAGGGATATATATATAACAAAAATAAAGGAAAAAGCAGTGAAAATACATGATCACAATGCAAAAGATGACAGCATACAACAGATGTCACACAAGTGCATTTTTTCACCATATTTGCAGTTCAAACATAACAGCATCACTTTAACTCAATCAAATTTTTCTTGAATTTGACATTTGAACTCTGAAACCAAATGGTTTGAAGTTAGAATTGTTTGAAGTACAAGACATCACTGTATTTATTTAGAATTTCAAATATCTCAAGATTTAAGTCTTTCTTGCAACAATGATAATAACAAGCACAGTTGACTCCTCAGAAGTCAATTTTTCATTTGATTATTTGATATTTTGATGTAAGATTATTAATTATTAAATTTCATAATTTATAATTACTAATTTCAAAAGGCCGAAGGAAAGGAACCGATCAAAGATTTGAAACAAGTCAGAGAGCGACACGAAGTAATCGCCACTCTAAAACTGTTCTTGGGTAATAGTGATAGCATCACATCCCAATTAATAGAGAGACTAAAATTACTTCGGAAAAAGTTCGAAAAATCTGAATTTTTCTCTAGACACGAGGTACGTTTGTCATTTTCAATATTTACGTTAAACAATCTAAATCTTTTTAATTTACAAAATTAAAACATTTGACATTGCAGGTGATAGGTAGTAGCCTTCTCATCGTCCACGATGGTATGAAAGTCGGAGCGTGGATGATCGATTTCGCCAAAACAGTCTCTCTTCCCGACGGAGTTACCATCGATCACAGGTCCCCGTGGGTTCTCGGTAATCACGAAGATGGATATCTATTTGGATTAGACAATTTAATTTCTGTACGTTTTCATTAAGAAACCCTTTTTAAGCATTATAATAAAAAATATTTGGGTAGAATATTAATAACAGGAGGATTTTCGTTACAGGTTCTTGAAGACTGTCTCGATTCTCAGACGGAGACTTGATCCGAACGATTCAAAAATAATTTCTGCCGACATACAGGCTTTGTACAGATGATTTCAGAGATTACATGCCCGATAATTTTGAAGGAGTCCTTGTTTATATAATTTAAGAATAGAGCAGAATATTAGCTTTTTATATATTTATTTTTAAAACGTGCATAATTTGAGTATAAATTTTGTACAGTTTTATTGTAATTATTTTGTAGATACTTTTTTCAATTGAGAAAAATTAAATTATGAATTTACTCTAAGATTTAAAAGATCTGAATAAGAGTGAAAAGTGCCATGTCAAGCTCAAGTTAAATGTGCCACATAAATTTTGAAATCGTCTGTCTGTTTATATATATATATTGATCTAGTAAATTATGTTTGCATGGCTAAATGTCCTATGTATCTCATAAAATTAAAATTTGAAAAATCATACAAAATCTCTTGTAATTTAATATTTTGAAGATCCAAATCACAGTGATTAGAAACTAACACATTGACAAAACCTTGACTTTTGGAACACCTTGTAGTACACCTTGACAAAAGTCGCCATGCATAGCAAAAATGAAAATTTGGACAAAATGTACCTTTTATTTACAAAACACTACACTTTGGCCATTTCTTTGTATGTGTGCACGAAGTCATGAATACAGCCACTTCTTTCGAAACATTCCCGAAGAGTATCGGAAAATGGTATGGCAACTTTTGGGATGCCCCATATTAAACAAAACAATAAGGTAATGTCATAAGACATATGGGGTAGTCCAAAAACTATAATTTTTGGACTATAATAAGTTTGGAATATAATAAGTTTGAACACCTTATCCTACTATTTAACATTTAAATATTATTTAATATCACAATTATTTAATATTTAAATAATTGTGATAACTACCTAAAACTTGGGGTCGAAATAAAGAGTTTGAAGTTTAGAAAGTGTTGAATTTCAAACATTTTTTGGGAAAATCACCCAATATCCTCATTCATTTTTAATGCAACCTCTGACTAGTTAAGAAATTATATTTTGGAATTAGTTTAATTTTTACTTTATTGTTTGTATTCAAATGGACGATCTACCGAAGGGAGAATGCCTATCAGGAGGACTTTATAATACCTAAACGGGCCAGTTTCCCTTATAAGCGAAGGTATTATTAAATGCCATATGGCACAAACCCTCGATTGTCAACGTTCAGTGGTTTTATCTACCCAGCCACTGGTGTACTCCTTAATTTTATTTTAAATCCTAAATCTGTTCCACAAGTTACAAAATTTAAAAACAACAGTGCTAATTTTAAATTAAACTACATCTGTTTAATTCTATTCAATACATACATTACAAGTTCTTACTCCATAACTGTGAGGAGTTACCACAAGAATAATTGGTCTTTTAAACAGTTCTTGATATGCAATTGACTTGTTTACACTTTTGATATCCCAAATGCCATTAAAAATTTTTGTGTAGTTCGAGTTTCTCACATGAATGTGTGAGGAATTTCATTATTTGTATTGTGAGGAGTTATACAATCTTGCCAACTGGGTTTTAAATCTCCCCTCATATAATGTCTAATGATATAGATTGATCCCAGATCTGTGGCACATTATCGTAGGACAAAAACAGGATTGCCTGGGATAATGTATTAAAGGAAAATATTTCCCCAAAGAAAAATATTTGAAACCAACAACGTACATGGGGCCTCTAATTCATGGTTGCTTGGGCCCCACGAAGTTATAACCCATCACTATCCTGTATATTCCATCTGCAGTCAGAGATTTTCTGCAAAATTCGGAAATCTCTATCAGTATACGTGCTGAGATTGAACATTACACACAATAATGACATACAGAATGATATCTCATCAGAAATCTGTTATGCAGCTTTAAAAGTTTCCATATTTAATATTGGTAATTCTGTATATACTGCTCAGTAATGCATTATGCAAGCATATTATTTGATGCAGAAATTACTTCTGTATATAAATTAGTTACATGTATATTTTATAAATAAAAAATATAAATTAAAAGACAAAATTAAGTTTTCCAGATTCATAGAAACAAAGACACCTGTAAAGTAGGCCTCTCGTTTCCAACAAGCAGCATTGCCAGGCAGTTTACCGTATAATGGAAATCATGCTATTACAATAGTATTGTGTAAATTGTGGTTCTGTCATATAGATTAAAAAAAGAGCGTATACAAGATAATTACATAATTTAGAAAGTAATTTATATATCATATTTGAATAATCTGTAATGCTACAGATATGGAGCAATGCATAAAGAATTATCAATATTATTAAATGTGAAAACTTAAAGCTGCACGACAAGTGGAATATTTTTCTTTATGCCATCTCGAAGTACATCCAAAGTGATTTGAAACTTAATTTATTGTATCGGAAATTTCTGAACAATATGGGAAAATCTCCAACTGCAGTTGGAATATTTCAATGTACTGTATATCATTAGGCAGGTCTATGACAATTGGGTGGATAATCATACACCCAGTTGTCACCTGCCTAATTGTCCCCATCCCATCAGTATACAAGGAACTCCTGAGCTAAATGGAAACATTTTCATGGTATCGTTGCTAACAAAGTGTGAATGAGTCAATTCGTATGGAGAATGTTTTAAAACCAATTAGTCCTGCGGTGTAACTCCAACTGGCCACTTTATCTACATAAGTACTATATATACAGTACTTATATAACTTCATCTTGATATATATACGGTAGAGCATTGATTATCCGAAATAATTTGGGACTGGGGTTGTTCAGATAACTGATCATTTACAAAAAAATGTATTAAACACAAAACTGTAATGTATATACAGTGGTACCTCAGGTTACGAACGCCCCAGCATACGAAATTTTCAGGATACGACATGAAATTCGAACATATTTTTGCTCCACGATACGAACAAAAACTCACGATACGACGTTACATTAGTTCGCATTTTTCATTTGTTTTTCTTACTACAGTTATTTTTTTTAATGTATTACTTGGCTTTAATTTGAGTATGTTTTTCGCGTTGGAACGAATTATTTGGTTTTACATGTAATCGTATGGGAAAAGATGATCCACCTTACGACATTTTCATGATACGATCTCAGTTTCGGAACGGATTAATTTCGTATCCTGAGGTACCACTGTAATTTCTATTGCACATCTTACAAATACATACCTTACATAATGTAATACATTAAACTAGGCCTACAGTTCAGTTTGGCAGGGAGGGGAAGAATACTGCAACACCACAGCAGTAGTGAAAATTTGAATTTGCCAACTGGAACGCTTTCAGTTAACTGATGTTTCGGTTGATTGGTATTTGGATAATCAATACTCTACTGTATATATATACAGTATTCATCTTATATATATATATATATCCCTCTCCTTTTTTCTCTCCCTCCCGCTCTTTCCTAGAGCTAAATTGTTTTCGGTTGACAATTTTTTTTTTTGCTTGTTGGCTCAGCAATTAAAGTGAGCTAAATGGGTTTTTAGGAGTTTGATGCGAAATAAATATACCCAATCTAGTAATTCTACCAAACGAGCTGAGTAAGGAGGGAGAGAGAATTCGAGAAAGTAGATTAATGTAGTTATAATTAAACTAGCTCCATCCTGATAAAGTCTAAGAGGAGATTTTCAAACCGGAACCTTTATGTTAAATATAACATAAAATAAGGAAAAATGGATTTATATAAGGTTAGCTTAATTCGTTTAATGTTTATAAAATAGAATTTGTGTCATGTTCATATTTCTAAACCAAGAAAATTGTATTAGGAAGTCACGATTCAGCGTGGAAACTAAGTATAACACATGATAAAGGCCGAAATTCAATAGATAAAAAAAAATATACTTTCCATCGTGATATTTTATGTAACTAGAAAGTATTTTTTCTCTTAATCTTACTCAGGTTTTCTTATCACAGTTTATATAATAAGGAATTAAATAAGGTTTTCTGTTTAGTCGTAAAATGTTTCTAAGTGCTTTAACATAAGGCAGGTTGTTAAAAATAAGTAGGTCAGCATTTTTATTTTTTCTTTATTTCTTAATTCAAGGCGTCTACGTCGCTCAGGGCGAAGTTAAATAATATAAAACTTAATTTCAGTTTGTATAATATAAAATATGGCTTAAAAAAACTTAAGAATGTTATTAGATAAAACGTATTCCAGAGGGACAAACCGACCTTGAACATCTAGATGAGGTAGGAGGAGGGAGGAAAACTTTAAGAATATTATTATTATTTTTTATATATAAATTCTTTCTGTTATGCCTTTCATTAATAATAGTAATAAATTTTTAAACACGAAAAACAACCATTTTTATAAGCGAAAATTAAACTTCTGGCGAATAAATTTTTATGAGATTTGCTNAAAAAAAAGAGAATTTATTTTGAATTTAAATTATTTTCTTAAAAGACTAAAATTGTTGTTTAAGATTTTCATAATTCCATCCACAGACTTTACTAGTTTCGATATTTGAAAAGTGTTAGTGACCAATTTGTGAAGGATCAATTTCTATGTATATGTAAAGTGTTTTCAAAAAGTCATATTCGGTTTCTGTCCCGGTGTTTTTTCGATGGATCGTGCGTTTTAGCACGTTGGATAGATGATCGAATACAATAATCTACGTATATATAAAAATCTATATAATTATTTTTGTCTTATATGCATAATTTCTATTCTTCAGATCTTTTTCTCTCCTCTTTACGTTGTTGATTTGCTATATTATAATAAAATAAAAGTGTACAAAAAATAATAATAATGTGTGTGTGGAAGTGTGTATCAAAACTTAAAAAAAAAAAAAAAAATAGATATCGGCCTGTATATCTGAATCTAATAAATTAGTTAGGTATTTAATTATCAATATCATCCTATTTCATTAGCATTTTGTTGTTTTGTGTTTTTAATGTAAAAAACTTGTAATGTTTGCTGTTTATATTAATTTGTACTTGCATCAACTTTATTTTACACAATGTGTTGTTCAAAGCTGGAACTTATTCTAACAATAATCAATATCACACCTTACTTATATTCTCCAGCAATACTTTATTAGAAGAAATCTTTGTTTCTAATAAAGACATAGGAAGGTGTAATACTGATTATTGTTTTAGACTTCTTCGGTTACAAAATACTTCAATAGAACTATTTACACACAGTTTACTTCATAATATGATTATCATAAAGCACCAATGAAATTTTAATTTGAAATATAAAAATTGTCCCTCGACGTGTATACTGTAGATACATAAATAAAATGTCAAAAATAATTTAACAGTTAGTTACTAAAGGTGCAAGTTTTAGTTAAAATTAAAATTATACCAATAGATCATTCATGAAATCATTATAACCATACATATTTTACACAATGTATCCAAATTAAGAATTAGAAACATCTTTAACTTGATATGTTTTATAAAAGTAATGTTTAAAAAGTGTTATTGTTTGGACTAGATGGGATTTATTTCATGCAGAATCGGCCGCTATGGTCTATATACGGCAGGACCTTGTTTTACGTGGGATTGGTGTATGTGTATTTGTGTTTTCACTGCAAAGTAATTCTAATAATGCATGTACTGATTATTTCATACACGATGAAAACATTAAGTAAATATTTGCATAAGTATGTCTTGCAGAGATTTGTGTGGCACCTGATGACAATATCCACGTAAAACAAGACCACGTAGTACACACCAATTTTTATAACTCATAATGAGGTCGGATGCATTACTTTAAACTGAAATCACGTTCAAAATCTGATCTCTTTCGGTTTTAGAGAGAGATCTTGTCGAACACTGACCTAGCAAATCAAGCCGAAAGTTAATTAAAATTGCCAAAATCCTTAGTTTGGATATATTGTATCGTGCAAACAAAAACCATTCAACGTAAAATATTAAAAAAATAAATTTTTATACAATCGTATATACAAAATACAATAAAGGTTTTNTAATATATATATTTTAACAACACTTAACATAATAATCAGAACATATGTGGAATTGTGGAATTTCTGAGACATGGAAAAAAGTAATAGCCAACAAAGGTGTCTCCTTTTATATATAGAATTTCAGAACTCAAGGAAATGTCTGATATATATGCAAGATAGTATATGAAGTCAAAAATGTAAATGTAATAATAATAATGTGTGTGTGGAAGTGTGTATCAAAAATTAAAAAAAAAAAAAAATAGATTTCTGGGAGGACTTTTTGGCAAAAAGGGAAAAGTGCCCCATAAACCGCCCGTGCGTAGAACCGCGGACACTACCGACATATAACAATAGATATAAATATATAATATACATGTAACAATCGGGACTCTAGTTTCCAATTCTCACACGGGACTTTCCTTTTGCTTTTTCTTCATAAATTATTGTCGTTGCGGTCCTCATATTTTTTTTTAATTTAAACTTTATTAAAAACCAGAAGTATAATAATAATATATTTTATAAAGAGTGCCAAATAGTTTGGCTGAAAAAAGAACGTAAAGAAATTGAAATGCTTACATAAAACCACGAAGAAGAAGAAATGGTAAATGATGATTTATTGTGTTTTGATTTACAGATTATTCCAGTATTATTTATATACTGAGTGAACAATTGTAAATATATATAACGAGCAATAGCTCCTTGTAAATTATCTAACTAAATTGTACATAACCCACAGGCATTAGCTGTCTCTGGTGTAAACATATAATTATATGCATGTTAATTATTATATTATTATTATTGTTATTTAGTTACAAGATTTAATATATGTTCTTAAAAAAATTTTGCATGGCTTTTCACTATTGTTAACTGATAACCGGTTATATATATATGAATATATATCCGCACCTTTACGTTATCGAAGAACTGAACTATCCCGTACTCATTCACACACTATTCAGTCAGAAATTTGTGTTAATCACCGAATATTTTATGTAAAATTAGATTATGGAAAANTGACCGCACGAGTCTCCGTCTTCTCCATTTTTGACAAAGCATGTGCACACTGACTATCTGCTAAGCTGTCGTGGCAAAACTTTATGACAAATCAAGCTGAAATTGGTATCGTATCTCTAGCAAAGATGGCTGAATTATTCCCGCCAAAAATTAAATTGATCGCAGCGCCGCATCTAGGAAGGCCGCGAATTTTCCGAAAGCCCTCGTAAGTCCAAGAACGACATAATAGACAACACACATTTAAGCGTAAGATTATAATAAATTATCGAAGAAACAGACCAATAGAAAAATTTCGTAGGCTATAAACGATATTTTGCTAATAGTTAGTTACTATGTAATTTCTATCGTTTTAATAAAAAAAAAAAAAAAAAAAAATAGATATCGGCCTGTATATCTGAATCTAATAAATTAGTTAGGTATTTAATTATCAATATCATCCTATTTCATTAGCATTTTGTTGTTTTGTGTTTTTAATGTAAAAAACTTGTAATGTTTGCTGTTTATATTAATTTGTACTTGCATCAACTTTATTTTACACAATGTGTTGTTCAAAGCTGGAACTTATTCTAACAATAATCAATATCACACCTTACTTATATTCTCCAGCAATACTTTATTAGAAGAAATCTTTGTTTCTAATAAAGACATAGGAAGGTGTAATACTGATTATTGTTTTAGACTTCTTCGGTTACAAAATACTTCAATAGAACTATTTACACACAGTTTACTTCATAATATGATTATCATAAAGCACCAATGAAATTTTAATTTGAAATATAAAAATTGTCCCTCGACGTGTATACTGTAGATACATAAATAAAATGTCAAAAATAATTTAACAGTTAGTTACTAAAGGTGCAAGTTTTAGTTAAAATTAAAATTATACCAATAGATCATTCATGAAATCATTATAACCATACATATTTTACACAATGTATCCAAATTAAGAATTAGAAACATCTTTAACTTGATATGTTTTATAAAAGTAATGTTTAAAAAGTGTTATTGTTTGGACTAGATGGGATTTATTTCATGCAGAATCGGCCGCTATGGTCTATATACGGCAGGACCTTGTTTTACGTGGGATTGGTGTATGTGTATTTGTGTTTTCACTGCAAAGTAATTCTAATAATGCATGTACTGATTATTTCATACACGATGAAAACATTAAGTAAATATTTGCATAAGTATGTCTTGCAGAGATTTGTGTGGCACCTGATGACAATATCCACGTAAAACAAGACCACGTAGTACACACCAATTTTTATAACTCATAATGAGGTCGGATGCATTACTTTAAACTGAAATCACGTTCAAAATCTGATCTCTTTCGGTTTTAGAGAGAGATCTTGTCGAACACTGACCTAGCAAATCAAGCCGAAAGTTAATTAAAATTGCCAAAATCCTTAGTTTGGATATATTGTATCGTGCAAACAAAAACCATTCAACGTAAAATATTAAAAAAATAAATTTTTATACAATCGTATATACAAAATACAATAAAGGTTTTTTTTTGTTTTCTTTTTTTATTGACATTTTTCAATTTTAACATTGTCAAAAAGGCGTTTGATATGAATTACAATTATAGCAATGTAGGAATTAATAAAACATCACAATGTTGCAAAATAATAATAAAGCAGTATAATATTGAAATACATTCAAAACAAAAAAAAAACAAACAACTCATTTTGTTTTTATAATAGTACAATTTTTTTTTTGCACTTACTTCTACAATTTTGTATTTTGTCACCACTAATGATGATATTTCTCTTTATATATATCACAAGATGAAGTTTTTAATTTAAAAAAAAAAATATATATATATAACAACACTTAGCATAATAATCAGAATGTCCTTTCAGTACACAACATACCGAGGTAGGTCTAATATATCACTTTTTTTTTTTATTTAAGTTATATGCAGTCTAGACTAACCATTCTCCAGAATGAATAAATGCAACACGTATTTCCGGCCACTGACGAGATGATATAGTTTTACGTCCGTTTAGTTTTGTACAGTTCTTTCACAAAAAGTTACGCTCTTGTAAAATATTTTTATCGTGAAAACGGAGTTCGTCTTAGCTAAAAAGAATTCCCCCACCTAATATATCCAAACATAATGGAATAAATACCGTCCGCAAATGGGATACAGTTTAATTCTTATATCAAAGAATACTATATATAAATTCCGTACACTCGTGTGTATAATACTGCTCGTCTCGCACTCGATCTGTGACTGTCAGACAGCTCGAAATTTAAAAATACACAAAACTGTTGACTAACACTCACATAGTTTTATATATAATTTTTTTTTATGGTATCAAATATACCATTTAACTTTACCGGTATGTTACAAACTATTCCAGAACCCAGTATCTATTCGGAGATCATTTTCAGGAATGTTTTCTTAATACACTTAAAAAAAAAAACACAAATCACGCACTCACACATACACATATATATATACATATATATATATAATAAAAAATTACACATATATATATATATATATATATATGTATATATAATCCAATAGCACAATTAAAAATGATTGGGCTTTAGTGCAACAATCAGAAAAGCTATATAAATGGCAGTGTTCATCAAACTGATTATTACATCCCCAAAAAACTATAGATGCATCGCCAAATTAAAGACGACGACAATGATAAACATCCGATAATAATACAGAATAGAAAGTAATTACTTAATAGTAAAAAGGCACAAATATTGTTTCTATTATACAAAGCCTACACTATACGAATATCGATCGTATGAAAAAAGATTGATTTAAATGCATGGAAACAAAAAATGCGTGACATTTCGGACAGGAAATTTCCCCAAACAAACGGTAGAAATGCACCACAGAGACATCGAGCATGGAGTTTACAGTCGTCTTTAAAAAAAAGAAAAAGAAACAACAATCAAGCTTCATCAAGCGTAATATACTATTATTTACAACTCTTATCTAATCGTCATGTTATCGCCATATACTGGCAACCTTTAATAAATAATTTATGAACTTTAAAAGTTACAAATATGTAGACAAGCATTACGATGCTATGCAAGAAAATCCAACAAACCATATGCAGACACCTATATACGCTAAACTCCATGTGACCATTTTCAATGGTTTTTTTTTTTTTTTAAATATTATTACTGTTTTTCCTTAATTTATAACAAATTGCACATTGTAATGAATTATTTGTTAATAATTTACAGTTGTAATTTAGAATTAATAATAAAAAACAAATCCAAGATGTTTTTTTGATTTTAAACAGGAACATAAATTAGTTTTTACTTGTATCGTCATTCCAAAAACAAATACTAAGGATAGTTACTAAGCTAACTTCACTTGGAAGGTCGGGCATCACTAAAACTCTTTTGAAAACTTAACCTCCTTTAGGGACAACATGATTAGGAATATGTTATTCCAAATTTTATGACCAGGCCTGAGATTATGAATCCCAATATTAGTCACATTATAGCACCAGTATTATGGCCGTAACATCTTTAAAAAGACAAGGCCTACAAAAACTTCCAATATAATCCATGTTCGCTTTATAATAATATCAACTTTCGAGTGAGAAATTACAATTTCTCAATATTTACACAATCTATACTCACGTCATTATAAACAATAACAGTCACATGATAAAACTACCAACTTCTTTTTTTTTATATTAACATCGAGAAATAGTGAAATACAAGACAACAATATTCAGTTAATAACCTCAAAACTTTTCTATAATATGTAAATCTTTCTAAGAAAAACTAAAAAATGAAGATATCATTGGGAAAAGTGTTTCATACGAAAGCATTTCGTTCCTACAAGGATTCCATTTCGTACGAAAGTAATCCTCGTAGATTCTGTAATAAAAGTCATGCAGTGGTTTTATACGTTAAATTATCATCTTTCTATGAAAGATTAGTATCAGATTTTCGAATTTTCATGAGCCCCCAAATTGGCAATCGTCTTCTTTATCCGGAGTGCGGTTAAACGAGCCGCTGGGTTATGATACCAGCATTCTTTCATAATTTTTGACATGACTCTCAGAGCCTATTTGGATAAGAGTAAATGAATATTTCAAATATCAAAATTAAAAATGTGCAAATTAGTGACTCACCTCGCAAGACTGCCATCGATTAGGAATCGCCGGTCTCTGTTTGTCGACGCAAACCACTTTCTTCATTTCTTCGATTGTAGGATCGGGTGCCACCATATCATAATAAGGTAACTGATAACCTTCATAAATACCTGTAAATAACAATTATAATCAATTGTTATTTACTTTAATTTACGAGGGTTTGAAGTAAATTTTGGAAACTTACCCCCTATATCACAACAACGTGCAATTTCCCAAAGAACGAGTCCGAGGGCGTATATATCTGCTCTCTTGAACGAATCAAAATGATTTGTGTTGATCGTCTCGCCCAATACTTCCGGAGCAAGATATCTCTTGGTACCCACTCTCGGATTCGGCGGAATATCCACGGAGTTTGTCACGGAATCGAATCTCACCGCCAGCCCTAAATCAGCAATGGCACATTCTTTACTGGCTTTTACTAAAATGTTCTTGCTTTTTAGATCACGATGAGCAATAGCTGGTTTCCCTAAATAATGGAATTATTATTATTATTATTATTAATATAAGAAATTTCTTTAATACTTTTGCACAACCAACTAACCTTGTGTACTCATAATTTCCATATGAAGATGAGCTAATCCATTTGCAATTGAATAAGTCATCTTACACATGGTAGCAATATCGACTGTTGTTCTGTTCAAGTAATCAAATAAGGAACCGTTCATATGATAATCAGTTATTAACCACAATTGTGTCCAAGTACCATTATCTGCAAATAGAAAACAAACAACAATTCAATATAATAAATGTTAAGATAATACTTATAGATAAAATTTTATATTTCCATAAATCTATTCCAGAAAATTTTTGTATATAAAAGTAAACAGCATAAATGTTGAAGTTTAAAGTTGAGAGCTATCAAAGTGAATGTAAAAATACAGAAAAATCCATTTCAATTAAGAACTAGCAGTATAATAATACAGTAATAATAAGCAATTATTTATTGTGACATCATCACAATACCAGGTTGAAATTTTTCGTCACAATGCTCTCAAATTTTAGTAGTGTACTGTACATCCCACTTTTCCTGTTAAGAATGGAGACATTGGAGTCATTTTGGTCATCTATCTAAAATGTTTGAATTGAAATAACATGATTTTCAATCCAAACCAGAAGTTTAATCAGGGTCTCATGCCACTAAGCTCTCCTTATCTGGTCTCAACTGTCGTCTATCTAACTCCGTTCTCGACATTAATGAAGGCCAGACAGATGAACGCAAGTTGGAATTTATAGGTCTACAATTTTTTAAAATTGCATCCTGATATGCCTTAGTGGGAACAGTGCACTAAGAGAATTCTATTTTTTTTTTTTTTTTGCTATTCCATCATCTAACAGCACAAATATCTCAGAATTTAAAAAGCAAGTCAAATTTTGTATTTAAATAATTTAATTCCATCTTTGGTATTACAACAAAGAAAGATTAAAGTTCTGTTTTACATAGGAAATGGATATACAATTTCTATTTTAGAGCATTAGTATCATATTCACTTTCTACTCAAACTTAAGTTTAATCTTTCTTATCATAGTTCTGATAATATATTTTTAAAATTTCAGAATAATTTCAATACCATTGATTGTTTAAGTTCACTTTTTCTCATATAGCATAACATTTTCAGGTTTGAAAAAATTCATTTTCTTTATGTATAGTTGCTTAATTATAAAGCAACAGATTTGAACATGTTTTGTTTGTTAAGTACTTGGCTCTGCATTCCCAAAAAAAGAAAAGAAGAATAAATAAATAAATAAATAATATGCCAAATACACTATTGCTTTTTACCTAATTCTTTCTCACTAATAATAATATTTACTAATTTTATCTACAAGCTACAAACTTTTATTGCAATGTAATGACCAATTAAAATAGCATATAAAAACTGTCATATATATATATATATATAAGAATCGCAAAGTCCAATATTTTAATAAGATACCAAACAACTGCTGGATTATATCTAAATTAATAAACAATTTAAATATTGTGAAAGAAAAGAGTTAACTCAGAGTGAGACTTGAACCCACAACTCCCACTTATCATATGGATGCATTGCCAGTTACGCTACATAAATCTCCATACACAAAGCATCTACACGTAAAGTGAGAGTTGTGAGTTTGAGTCCCACTCCATGCTGATTATTTTCTTCCACAATATTCTAAATTAATTATCAAATTTAATAAGAGATAGTCCTAACACCTACCTTTAGTACCAAATTATTTAAATTTAATTGAAAATAATAGCGGTAAAGTAGCCCAATTTAATCCGGTAGTCATTTGGCATATTACTAAAAATAGTTATGTGAAATTGACAAATTTTTCTAGTTTAGACCTGATAATTATGTAGAAAAATACACTTTTCCAAGCATAAGCCAAGGCAAAAATTCTTTGTTCAAAACTACTATCATCAGAGAAATGTGAACCACAAAATGGTAATTGGAGAGTGCTAAGTCTGGACTATACACAGGATATTCTATTATTTTTGAATGAAATTGAAATCTGCATTGCACTACGGAGAGTTGAATCATCAATGCAGAGGCATACTGATTGACAAAACTTTCCAGGCTTTTTCCTACCTAATGGTACATCAAAGTTTATCCAATATCTCACAATACAGATATGCATTAATTGTTTCTTCATTGTTTAAAAATATAAATGGGATTGCAAAGAAATTCTGTTAAAAAGTCTGCCATTATTTACCTGGCAGAAATGTACCAAAAGTGATACAGAATCGTGGAATCTTTTCTAGACTCGGATGTAATGCAATTTACCCAAGTTTTGTCCTTTATAACTAAGTCCTCTAAAAAATTTTCTTCACTTCAGTACAGCAGAAAACTTTGCAAACTGAGTCACATTCAACACACCTTATGATTTGTGTCAAGTTGTTTTGGAACTCGGCATGCACACAATTTTTGTTATCTTCGCAAACAAGTCTATGGCTCGTTGACTGGATTTCTAGGACCTTGGCCAACTCCCTTATTTTTAACCTCCCACTTCTTTATCTCAGAAACTTGAATTCATCATCAAATTGAGAATAACACATTGAGATCTGTTTTAATGATATGAAGAAATCTAATTACAGTACACAATTCTAGTTTTGTGTGTACAGAAATAATTGATGCCATTTTTAAATATTTGGAATGCCAAATGACTTATTTTACAAAACAAATCAAGCACATTTCCACAGAGATGACCACACCCTAGCATGAGCTATTCAGATATTCAATAATTGAAAAAGCTGTGATAAAAATGGAGGGAAAAATTATTGTACCATATGTGAGGACCCGAACAGGGGTCGACTGAGAGGTCCGAATTATGGGTTCGATCGAAAATAAAGAGCTTCTTTTCAGACGATAAGGAAACGGATTAGGTGTCTCGATTGAACAATGCAATTGTTTTTTTTTTCGCGAATCTTTTAAACAATGGAAACGGGGAAATTCGAGGAAAACGCGACGAGAGAGAGGATCATATTCAGTCGCTATGTTAACCTTTCCCGCACCCTCCATTAGGTTTCGAATTGTCACCAGGTGACAATGAGAGACCAATGGAGAGGCGACTGCTGTAAAAAAAATCTATAAATTTGTGCGACTCAAGAGACGAAGGGGCTTGGTTCGTTGTTTTTGGTTCTTGGTGTTTGGATACGTAGTGTGTCGTCTCATGGACGGTCGTGATCCAGATCTTAGAAAAAAAAAGGACCTTTTGGAACATCGGGGGAAGCATCGTTCTCTGGGTGCTCCTAGCAATCGACAGATTCGTCGGAAAATTTTACAAATTGGTTCATTAATTTACTTTAAAATTATCTTTTTATAGGATACTTTTAGAAGACGTTCAAACATAACCACTGCATGCAAATCACTTTATAACATCTTAGAGCCTGTACACACTAGGCATTTTTCAACGTGCGTTAAACGCACGTTTTAAAGAACCAAGAGTTCTATGTAGGCGTACACACTCAAACGCATGCTTTTCGCCAAGCGCGCATTAAACGCGCGTTTATAGATTTTTGTTAAAACGCGCGTTTTGTGGGTGTTAGCCGAGCACTTTGAGATATATGTGCTGCCATGTTACTGTACATTCGATCGCGCGTTTTGCGGGCGTCAGCCCAGCGCTTTGAGATATATGTGCTGCCATGTTACTGTACATTCGATCGCGCGTTTTGCGGGTGTCAGCCAAGCGCTTTGAGATATATGTGCTGAAATGGAAAACGATCATTTTGATACTTATCTATTTATTGATGAAATCTAAAAGAGACCAACCATCGTCAAAGGATTTTATAGATATTTTAAAAGAATTAAAAAACTTGAATTTATTTTGTCTTAGTTTTGGATACAACGTCGCAAACATTTCATGCGTCAGTCTATCTCGTAATATTGGGTGCACCCAAAATTCTTTTTGCCTCTGCAATCGTCTTTTATAGCGACGATAGAGGAGCCACACACAAGCAATCACTTCCACGTCCATTTCCAAACCAAGCCAGTGCGCACGCTCCGCTAAACGCTCGGCGTTCGACGCGTGTTTAAAAACGTCTAGTGTGTACACAGCCTTAAACAGAAATGGCATTCATGTAAAAGCTTATCATCAAGTTGTTGAAATTCTCATTCAATTTTAATTGTAAAGTATAAAACATAACTACAAATACATTAGATAATTATGTATAAGCAGTCACCTTTGATGAAAATTATTGCTGAATATTACAACTTCATTTTCTTTTAGGCAAAAAGAAGAAATAGGGAAAAATTACGTTCTTTCTCTTTTTTCATTGAAAGTTTAAGAGCTATTTTAAGTTTTACTGTATATACAATAACTTTTTTACTATTGTAATTGATAAGTATCTTCTTTGAGTTTTGTTAAACACATTGTTTAAATTTTATTCTTTTGTATGTATTTTGAAGCTTCAAGGTAAACACACAAAACAAGGATAAACAATGCTTTAAAATGAGTTTTAAAACTGATCAAACTAGCTTTGATTTATGTTTTTAATATATTAAAAGTTACTAGGACTTATCTTGGAAGTGAGTGTTATAAACTTCATATCAGTTTGTTAAACAGTAAGTACACCTTATTGAATGTCTTAATAAATTTATTGGAGAATGTGTTGTCAGTCGAAGACCAAATGACAATACAACAATCCAGTGGTTTTCACTGGAGTGCTATGTATTACTGAAAGTTCAAAAAGCAAACAGTAATTCTTCTTGCAGTGTCTCTACTTCTTTATCAGTTCAAAAATTACAAACTTGGGATGCCACTATTAAAAAACGGTTAAAAACACTGCAATAATCAATTAATGGCCAAATGTTTGTAAAATATAAAACAGTCCCCAGTGGCGTAGCGTAGTGGCGTAGCGTAGTGGGGGCAGCCCACCCCAGGCAGCACTTTTTAGGGGGCGGCAAAATTTCACAATAAATAATAATAATATCTTGTAAAAACTTGAACCATTTCATCACATTTTCGTTGCACCTACGATTCGGACCGACTGAAATAAACACGGAATAGTGTTACCATCCGGACAGTCTGGGATATCGTGCACAACCTGTCAACATTTTTTTTTTTTTGCTTGTACGGATCATTCGTATTCATATACACCTCCAATATCCAGTAGAGCTAAGTCATCTAGGTTACTTACATTACTCCTCCTACCCAAGTCTCCCTAGTCGCTAACTGTAACTGATTTAGAACCAGCATGCACTGCACATTATTCTTCGCATTGCAAAATGTCAT